GAAGACATTTGTTAAGTGARGCCCCAAGAGGCTTCTTGTGTGGCCACTACATGAAAACACACTGTTCCAAATAGCCACTGGCATCAATAGTCTGATCACTCTGAACTTGCTCAACACTTGCAAAGTTGGTGGAGCCCCACTGGCTCAGCCAACAGAAACAGCCACAAACACCTCTGGTTCTGAAGCGTGGAGGGGAYTTGTCACTGCAGCTTGTTTCTATTCCATCAGAAAGGGCTGATGACAGGAAGGTGGAGGTGCATAGCTGTGGGAATGTGGCTGCGACAGCAGGCACATGGTTACTCCTTGAGGATTTCTCTTCTGCCTCAGTTTCCTCCTTTGAGAAGTGGTCTTCCGTGCCTTCCAGTTAAATCAAATTCATTACTGTGGTGAACAGCATCAGTAGGGCAGACCCTCTGCCAGGCTGGGATCTTTCCCACAGCTGCACAAGACAAGGTTGCCATGGTGGACATGGATTCACCCTGACCAGGACTCAACCTCTGTGCATGGAAATGATTCAGTGCTCCACATACAAAGATCCCCAACCACCATGGACAGTACAGGAGGGCAAGCACGGCAGTGCTGGGCACAAAAATAGGAAGCAGAGGCAGGGGGACTGCAACTGACGGGACAAGCCGAAGTGTCAGCCAGGCAGGAATGATTCCTTCCTGATCCTGAAGCAATCAGCATCCAACAAATGTTCCCAGTAAGAAAACTGGCTTAGTGAGATGACTGTCCCCTTCTTTCCAAAAACCTGACCAGAAGGGTCTGTTGGTCAAGGAAGGGAAAGYGTGCAGTGGGACATGGTGCAAGCTGTTTCAGGAGTCAGGATTCATCCTGGGCATACAGCCATCAGCTTCATGTTATTTGGGACTGGTTCTTAGGGAAAAATTAGAGGTAAATGGGGCCCTTTATCTTCATCTTAGGTTTTGGCACACTTCTGATTTAATACTCAGTGAACAGGGTGTCAGGACAGTCTCAAAACTGTGTTTTTCCACCCATGATGGAGATATCCAGAGGATTTCTAAGTGTAAGAGCAAAAAGACATGGAGCAAGTGAGCAGGGCTGGAGCCAGGATCACCACATTGCTTGAGGGGCCCCATGGGCAGGAGCACATCGCTGTGCCCACAGCAGTGAGGAGTGCCCTGAGGAGGAACAAGTCTATTTGCTGGTGAAGCYGAACGGACATAAAATCTCCCTCAGTTATGTGGGTGTTTTTTTCTGTATAAACTTGCTAATTGAGTTGTAAAATAAAACTGCAGCCTTTCCTCTCCAATTTCTGCTGCTGCAGCAGCGTGCTAATTTGGGTTTGGAAGGGGGCTGGTAGAAGGTGGCTCTTTGCCAGCGTGAAATTATGCGCAAAAGTTTTGCAGTGGGAGAGAGGGGAGCCCGTCCCAGCACAGGGAAGGACTGGGGGCAGGAGCTGCTGTGCYGCTGTGCAGRGCTCGGGRGGCTTGGGAAGGTCCTGCAGCTGGGCTGGGCTGGGCTGATGGAAATTCAAGAAAGCCCAAAAGGGTTTAAATGAGGCTGCAGTGGAGARCAGATGGGAAAGTCAGTGCTTGTGCATCTTGATAGACGCTGTGTCGTTGAGAGGATGAGCTCTGGGGTTTCACATCTACCTTTTGGCACGGCCGGGCAGGATTTGCTGCTTGGGCTGATGTACCTGTGTGTGTATGTGTGTGTATGTGTGTGTGTATGTGTGTGTGTGTGTGTGTGTGGGTGGGTGGGTGTGGGTGTGGGTGTGTGGGTGTGTTCATGTGCCTTCTGGTGCTCACAGACGTGTGCTCGTGTCCCTGGGGCTGTGTGGGGATGTGTGTGCCTCTGTCTGGGTCTCTGTGCAGACAGTGACGATGGGGATCTGGCTCTTGTCACTGCGCAGGGGTGACACAAGGCTCTGTAATGCCTGTAATGCTCACTGTGCACAGGGACGAGGATRGTGTGGTGCAAACTGATGCAGAGGAACCCATTGCTCAGCTCTGCCAGCTCACACCAGGCAGGGATTTGCCCCTGGTGCCACACGGGGGGCTGAGAAGAGGATTGGCCTGTGGGCAAAGAAAATGGTGGAGAAAGAAAAAACACGAGGCACAGCTGTCTGCTGCATCAATGTAACTTTACTTTTTGAAAGATACACATCAAAAATGCAGTGACAGWCCAGTCCCAGGATATTTGGTGAAGCTTGGAGTTCCACATAAGTGGAACACACACCCCAGCGTGCAGGAGGACGTACAGAATTTGGGGGCCTGAAGTGACCCACACTCACCATTTTTTTTACCTTTCACTGTATTCCATAAAACTGTRTGGAATTATTCCAGGCAGGATGCTTCAAAAACCATTCTCTGGGCAAGAAGCCCAGAGATTTATGGACAGACTTCTCTGTCCATTTGACAGTCCTTCCCATCCCATCYATCGCTTTGCTAACCTTTTTGATCTGTTCCTCGGGCAGCAGTGAGAAGGGAGCGCTGCAGTGGGAGCATCAGGAGAACGGCTTGACAGCCTGGGGCTGCTTATCCAGGTGGGATTGGGCAGGACAGGACTGGACAGTGCTTTTCAGCCTTCCCCTCTTTGGGAAGAGATGCCCTGAGCACTCAGCCCTGCTGCCATGTTCTGATTCTGTGCGGGCTCCAGAATCAGCACCTTGATTGCTCTCTCAGCACCCTGGCCAGGGAGCAGTGAGGCCTCAGGGGCTGGAAGATCTTGTCAGATGGTTTTTTAGAATGAGCTTTAGTGTCTGATCAGCATCAGGCTGGACTTAAAAAGGGACTGACAAAAGAGTAACAGTTGATGAAGGCTTCCTCTGCCAGCCCTTCCTCTGCGTCCTGCCCCAGCTGGGTTGGGGCTCCCAGGGGTCACTGACTGCTGGGGTGGTGTTTGCAAGGCCCTGTGTGCACATGCTGAGTGTGCAAATGCTGTGTAAACCATGCCAACTCCATGTAGAGACTTGCAAGCCCTGTGCAAAGGCTGTGCAAACTGCAAGTGCTGTGCAAGGTGTGCCAATGGCTTCAGTCCTGGCTGTCCAGCACTGCACGGGACAGGGGTTTCTCGGGATGGGGTTTTCTCGGGATGGTGTCCTGGGAGCGGTGTCCATGTCTCTGCACAGTGTGTGTGCACATACCGAGCAAAGCCGCTGGTTGGCATTAGAAACCCGCTCGCGATACTGTGACAAAACACCTGTAAAATTACAGCAGAAAGAAATCCAAGAGGCTGCAGTGACAAATGCTCGTGAGAAGCGATTGTTTCGGGGGGAGAAGGGAAAAAAAAAGCCGTGTTTGTTTTGGCGAAACACCTACATTCCTTCAAATAAATCATCGCAGCGCTTGTTTTTGTATTTGCGGAGAAATCGCAACAGACATAACCAGGGACTTAAGAGACTTGAAATAACATCCTAGTAAATACCCCACTTTGTTATTTTAATCGAGACCCAAGGAAACATCTGAATTTTACCAAGGAAACCCTCCGAGCGAGGGAAAACATCAGCCCGCAGCCCGGCCGGGGCTTTGTTTTGCTGCGGTGTTGGACTCCCGAGGAGGAATTACCGGGGCCGAGGGAAGCTCGGGGCAGCCCGGGGCACCACGGAGCGGTGCGGGGTAGCCCGRGTCCCCGGGGCCGCCGCACAGCGGATCGGTCCAGCTCTCCCGGCCGCTCCCGGCCCGGCCCCGCMGCCAGCATCACCCYGCGGGCCAGTGTGGGGGGAAAGGGATCCACCCGAAACGTGGGGTGGCAGTTCCTCCGTTTGAAACAGAGCCGGGGCTGCCCCATCTCCAGTGTGGACCGGGGCTCCCTCCCCAGTACAGGGCGGCGGGTGATCCCCTCCAATACGGGGTGAAGTTTCTCGGTCCAGTCTTCGGTGTGGGGTTCCCCTTTCCGAAATAAAGCAAACAGAGATGGCAGTGCCTCCGCAACCTCCCGCCATCCCGAGCGTTCCAAAGTCGGACACAACCTCATCCCATCCCACAGTCGGGCTGCGGTGACGCCGTGGCACGGGGCTGTGGGACACGGAGCTGTGGGACTCGGGGCTGTAGGACACGGGGCTGTAGGACACGGGGCTGTGGAACACGGGCTGTGGGACACGGAGCTGTGGGACACGGGGCTGTGGGACACGGGGCTGTGGGACACGGGGCTGTGGGGCGCAGCTCTCCCGCCAAATCAGGGGCGCGGGGGAGGCCGCAGCCTTCAGGGGTCTCTCACCTGCCGGGGCAGGCGGGGCGGGGTTTGAGGGGGTGTCCGGGGCTCTCTCACCTGCCGGGGCAGGAGAGGCGGGCTCCGATGGGGGGCCCGGGCGGCAGAGGCGGGGGG